AATCTCTATCTCGTCATTTTTCACAATATAAACATGCAGCTAGAATGCTCTAGTGGTGCTAGTCGGCATCAATTTTTTTTTAAAGGATTTTTCATTTAAAATCTGACAACATAAAATTTATATTATTTAATAATTATTTTTTATTTTTTATTTATAATATTATATGTTAATTAATTTAATAATATAATATAAATCTCTATCTCGTCATTTTTCACAATATAAACATGCAGCTAGAATGCTCTAGTGGTGCTAGTCGGCATCAATTTTTTTTTAAAGGATTTTTCATATTAAAATTTAGGAGTGTAAAATTTAAATTTTATTATCAATATTATATATATATAAATAAACATGTGGCATCTACCATTCTCGGGTTTTTCTCTCAAAAGTCGTAACGATTGATTCTAAATATTAACACGGCGCTGCTATACTTGAGATAATCTCACTCATTTAACATTATAAATTTATAATTATGATATAAAAAGTTAATATTTATTTATCTTATTTTTTAAAATTTAAATAAAAAATCAATTCAAAATTACATAATTTTAATAAAATAGTATAAAAAATAATAATAAATACTTTAATTCATATTTTAAAAATAAGATATTTTAATTTTTTAAAATAAAAATTATTAAAATGATATAATTTTAAAATAATTTTTTCATAATTTTTTAAAAATAAGATAAATAGATATTATTTTCATAATATAATTTTATATTATTGAATAATTAATTTTTATTTTTTAAAATTTATAATATTACATATACAATTAACTTAATAAAATTTGTACGCCAGGATATAATCTTAAATTTTTATTATTATTATTTTTTTTTATAACTCATCAAATGTAATAATTAGTAATGTACTAGATTTTTTTCATGTCGGGGCCCACTTTTGTTGGGAGGCGGGCTGGCAACTCTTTTTTTTTTTTTTTTTTTGGGTAAATTCGGGCTGCCAACTTGAATGCTGTATTTCGTCGGTTGAGAGAGAGGGTGAAAAACACGACGTCGTTTTCAAGATGAGCGCGGAATAAATTTTAAAAAGGAATAATGCGGTGAGCGTGGATCGAACACGCGACCTTCAGATCTTCAGTCTGACGCTCTCCCAACTGAGCTATCCCCGCTTTGATGCCCCTAATGCCAAATTTAATCCTTTTATAAATTTTACGGATACCTGAAATTAATAAAATCGGAGGCTCGAAGCGAAACGGAAGATACGGTGGTAACAGGAGAGACGGCGAGGTGTTAGCCGTTGCCATGCCTTTGCAGTTTTTTTGTGGTGTGGTAGAGAGGCGACAACATGATCTTCCGTGAGCTGTCTCTTTCAAATTCTTTTTTAATGCTGGATTCTTCGTAGCCCGCTTACTTACATGTACTTCTTTGCCGAAACTACGAAATTTTGCTCTTCTTTGATTTGCTTTAAGAGGAAAGTATTTATTTTTGGGTAATTTTTTCGACTCTGTTTGTAGATATGTTCTTAATGAAGCATGTTTGGCTGTATTGTTTCTTATCCTGGTTTGTTTGTTTATATGATCATGGTAATTTTGTAGCAGATTATATAGTTCGGTACTACCAGTTCTCTACTCCAAAGCAAGCTTTTAATGTCCTTTTCTTTTTTAAAGAAATAATCTTTCCTTTAAAAAAAATGATCTTTACTTGTTTTCTTCCATGCTTTTGCTCAAGAGGATGAGAGTTACTGTTAAGTCGTATAAAATGTTCGAGAATTTAATCCCATATGCCATACTTCTGTGTGACATTGATATAATTTTTCTTTCATTCTTTTAGCTCCAGCTTACATGGTCAAAAAAAAAAAATGCAGTGGGTCAAGGACCTATTAGAGTTCATAATCCAATGCTGGTCAGTATGAGTCGTTCACAATTCCGTGGCTTACTTGTCATTTGTGGTGAGGATAGTGTTGATCTACTTTCTATTCACTTCCTAACAGGTACCACCGGATGGTGAGTTATCACCATGAACTACCCATTAACCCAAGAATTTAAACACCCATTTCTTATTAATGCGTTGATCGAAGAAGTTGGATCCATTTAGGTTAGGAAAATGCTTTGTTTCATGGTTTAGATTTTTAATTTCTAGTTTATCACCTAATATATCTTTTCCATCTCCTCCCAGGCTGAAGTGAAATCTTGAAAGTGCATGTTGAATTATCCTCAACCATTACTGTAAATACTCTTCTAGTCAGATGCCACTACAGCACTACCTACATATACAAGTAGGTAATTTCTGTTTACTCCACCATGCATTCTGTTAAGACTTAAGGGTGAATTGAGAAGCTTCAATACTTGTCCTCAAATCAGAAGTGCTTCAGAAAAAAGTTATTTGACTTTCTGTTCCATTTGTTTCATATAAACACCAATTGTCTATCCATGTAGATGCCTTGAATAGGTTGCCCAGCAATGCACTTTCAACAATGGTTTTGGATGAGATACTGCTTACCTAATTAAAAATCAGAGAATATTAAATTCGTTCAAGTGCCTGTAGTCCATCTTTTATAAACAATATTAATCACTATTGCTATTTTGCAAATTTAAGGGTTGGCTTTGAGTTGGAACCCGGAACAGTGGGAAAACACTACTGATTTCAAAGAATCAAGCAATAGAACTGAATGGAGTTTAAAGAAGGTAAAAATTTAAAGACCCTCTCTTGTTTACTTTCTACTGTCCCTTGTGAGGTATTGTTACTAGAAGGTCTATGCATTTGATTTGTCAATGAGCTTGACTTGTAGCAAGCTTTCTTTACTCCAGTGCATTTTACTTACAGCTGCTACGTGTTGTAGCTTGCTGGTGGATCTTTGCATATTCTATATGCAAAGTTGACATTTTCAATAAACCCACATGGTATGATATTCTTCTATTTTAAATTAAAATTTCACCTTTCACTCCATTTTTATTACATAATTAGTGTTATTTAAGTAGTAATTATTTATGCAGGAAGTATTACAAAGGAACCTGGACCAGTGAGCAAGATTTTCACAATCCCACATACAATGCTTCAGGACTTCAGGCAAGCTCTTGTTTGTCCTTGTTCTAAATTAAAATTTTAAGATCTTTTCACCATCTAAATTAAAATCTGTTAACCTCTTTTTCCAAAGGAAAAATAAAAATCTCTTGTTTTGACCATTTCAAAGATGTGCAAAACATTCTAAATTAAGTGATACTGGTGGGGAGTTTGTATTATGATGTTAATACATGATAAGGTTGCACTTTAATGTGAGGCTTAGTGGGGCTTTTTCTTTCTTTTCATATAAACACAATAGTACCCTGGGGAGGTTTATGTCTCTTTTACTTTGGCTGTCCTCTTCCATCCAGAGTAGTCTAATCAGTAATGACCCCTTATGTCAGCAACAGAGTAGAGCACCAAATAGTACAATAATTAAAAGTTTAAAACTGAGTTAACATCACTTAACAGAAACCGAAATGAGTTATCAAGTTTGTATGCCCATATAGACATGAAAAACATAAAGAAATAAGTCAGCCTGATCTAGAGATGAAACAATATGATCCTGAATGTCAGTGCCATGATATATCAGTGAAATCAAGTAGGCACCATTTGTGAGCTCAGTAGAACCGAATAGGATGCTAGTCCTTAATTTTTCACCTTAAGGTTGGCAGTTGAATGATGATGTTACATCTTTGCATTGTGTGGTCCTGGTAAAGTAGTTGCAGATGGCTATAAAGCATATCGATGGGTGAGGGATGTCCGACAAGGTAGTTCTTGTGTGGCTTTGCTGTAAACACAAGATCTTGGTACCCCAGTTTGTTTTTTCCTACGTTGGATTCCATACTTTTTAAGTTTCCTTGGCTGTAGCACCAAATGAATTGATGGTATAAAACTAACTGATCTGTCCTTAAATTAAATATGGTACTTAAACCCTATCAAATTGACCCCTTTGACACTAAGCAACTTATTCATGCGACAAGTGTGGTTGGATATTTTTAGTATTGACACCTTTAGACTTTAGTACAATGACTCTTGGTTCCCTTGAGGTTGTGGTTTTCAAAGCATCAGTAGACGCATCTCTTTTGGATGAATAACAAATTTTGAGATTGGATCATCTCCATCGACCAATAATTATAGTTCAATTAGGGAATAGTGGAAATGTGCATCATCATAAAGTGATCTATGTTTTCTTGGTACTTTTAGTAAAATGTTAAATCTCCAGATTGGATCAGCCTGCAAGTGCTTGACTTGTCAGAAAAGTTGAACTAAATTTGGTTATTTCCGTGTTAGTTGAAATCTCTGAGTTTCTACCGCATATGTTAGGAACTGGATTCGCTTCATCTCAAATTCAAAGCTTAGTTTAAGAAAGTTGAATCTAAATCTTTCGGTTATCCTTGCAATAGGAAGGAACAAAGTTCCATTGAAAAAAGTAGATTCCTAACAACAGAAGTTTAACTATTGCATTCTACTATTAAGATATCTACCTCGAATCTTAAACCAAATATGTCTTTGACATTTGAATTTCATATTCAATGTTTCTTTAGAAATTTGATGCTAAGTAGATTGTTTTCTGCCTTTCTCTATCAGAGCTTTTGCCTTTTTCTGGATATTGTATATTTATGTTGCTGCTTTCACATTTGACCACTTGGTGTCGACAGCTAGAATCGTATTTAATCATTCCAATCAACGGAACTTTGTTGAAACTGGTAAACCAACACAAAGCTTTTAGATCTTCCAGGTTGAATAATCTGCTTAGATCTGTCAACCAGCATAAAGCATCATGCTTATGCCAATCAAAGGCAGTGAGGCGGCTTAAAAGCTTGAGTAGATCAGTATTAATTAGCATAATTAAAGTTGCTTAACTTCAAAAGCAGCAATTAACTTTTCCTCAATGGACTCCCCCTGAAAGTCTTGAAACACTCACCGACCTTTGGAATATTATAGTTCTTTTATGATTACTTTGAGCTAACTGAAAATTAAACTACTCATATTTTCTCAAGTAATCTAATTACTGTAACTTTCATCTTTTTTCTGCTGATTACATGTTTCTTGATTACCCATTTTATTTTTCTGTCTTCTTCTATGAAAATCACAGTCAATGAGTAAAAAAAGGAAATGATTTTGCTGAAATACAAAAATTCAGACAGAGCACATGATGTCCATAAAAAGTCCACTCTGGTACCTGATGATGTAGCTTCCCAACCCCCAACCCAGGCAGGTGCAGGAAACAGTGTCCTCCATTGTCTTGTATACCCTGACCGTTTACCTGTCCGAACGTCTGGTGTTTTCCCCTCTTTGAAAATTTCCTTTCCCACTCTTTTTCTTTGTTTCATATTATGGCATATATGGTGTTTTACCATATCTGCTTCAAAATTCACATTAGTAAAAACCCAATATCAAACTTAAAAAACTTTCTAAAACAACATATTTAAAACAAGATAACAATTGTAGGCCATGCCTCCCCTCCCTGAAAGGAAACAGTCACATTTACATGTAAGATTATAAAATGTTCTCTTATTTTACATAATGTTCCTCCATAAAAAGCACATTTTGAGTCGAGTTTAATCCAAGTTTTGAGTAGAGTTTAATCCAAGTTTTGAGTAGAGATTAATTAAGCTCGAACTTGTTTAATTTGTTAAAAGAATAACATTAATAGACTCCAAGAAGTTCATCAAACTAAAATTTTTGTTTCAAATGTAAAACTTCAACGAGCTAAACCTTTCGTAAAAGTTAATCAAAACAAACTCCGACTTGACACCATAGAGTATGACTCAGCAAGACTCGAATTAGTTGTAGCCATTTAACTGATGGGATTGGCATGTGCCTAAAAAAGCTAATCACAGATGTTCATAAACTAAAAAGCACCAAAAAAAAAAAAAAAAGAACACACACACATACACACGCCTTCTCCTCTCTCCAAAAGGAATCTGATTGTACCATCACATATCCAACCATAGATCTCCAACTGCCCCACGGCTCCCACCCCCTTCCCTCCCTCTACAAAGCTCTCCTTTCTCTTCCTCTTTCTTTCAATCACTAGCCCTTCCTCCCCCCGTT